CATAGACCCACTGTAGTTTCCATGTTGGGCCAATCGTCTGTTACAAGGGGGAAGACAGAGAGCAATGATGTCTGAGAATTTATAGTCACCAAAATGATTAGGTTACAGCATTCATCTCTAAACATATGAAGTATTTACAGAGCACTTGAAAAATCACTCTAGTTTCCAGGAAGTTACCTGGTGACCTTGGAAAGTTGAAGCTAGTGAATTTGCCATCAGGATCCTTCTTTCATTTTGAAGTGTAATATAGTGTCACTGGTTCTCCAATATCCATGGTGCCAATTTCCCACTGATGTCTTATATCTTGGGTTTCTTTCTCCCCGTTAGAAAAGCATGGTGATGAAATAGGTGAGGTAACTTTGAGCACAGAGAGCCCATGTAATTACATAGTGTTTCCAGCACAATCTACAAGGTTCTGACACTCCCCATCAGTACCGAGATAAGTAAGGGGGGAAAGCTTGTCAGAGAAGTTTGGCTATGAGCGCAGCCCCAGACGAAGGTGGCGGCTGTGACTACTTGGAAATCAGGAGGTTTATGTGCCAATTATGTCAGCTTCTCCTGATCATTTCGAGGCAGTCTTCTTGTGAGGCTTGTTTTGAGAAAAGACAGATGTCCTATACATAAAGTGAAATAAATACTTTTCTTCTGAAAAAGAATATTCATGGAAAGGGTTTCTAAACCCAGCAGGATCAGGGTAATTGTTCTGATTATATAAACAACTTATTTCCCAAAACTGACTTGTAATTCTGCAGTTCAACAAAATTTGACTAGCTGCCCTAATTGGACTCTCACAAATATGACTTCCCATTTGCCTATTGAAAAATTGAAGGCCACCCTGTTAGTATTTTACCCTCCTAACTATGACTCTGCTGGACCCTCAGCGCCTGCTGAGTTTTCCAAATCACCTGTTCCAAAGAACCTGTTTTTGTCATTTTTAATTATTTCTCTCTTAACTATACATAAAAACAATTAGAACAAATACTTTTATGTAAATTCACGTGTCTTTACCGTGCCTGGGCATTTTTCTTTGACTTCCTCCTTGATTTTGAATTTCTTAGCATGATTTGGACTGTACGCTATTAGGGCACACTCCCCACTCTGCGCCCCATCACACAAACAGCTCTAATTTGCTATGTGTGGAATTGAGAAAACAAAGAATTCTTCCATGCCTCTGAAATTCCTTAGCCTCAGAAGCACTTCAAATCCCAGATTTAACCAAAAGTTCCTACTAAAACCAATCTCTAGAATTCTTGGCATATAAATAACTATTACTGTCAGGTCCTGCCCTACATACTTTAGATACAGAGACCTCATTTCTCAACAAGCAAATTAGGGAGTGATTATCATCTCCACTTCACAGGTATGGAAATTGAGGCTAGAGGTTGTTAAGAAGCTTGCCCAGGGTCCTCCCTGCTAGTAAACAGTGAAATCAAGATTTAATCTCCTTTCCTGTCTGTCTAACACCAAATCCCAGGTCCCCTCTATTACACAACAAAAGTCCCTCAGGCCCCCGGGCTCTCCTTGCCTTGTCAAATCTGGATACATTGTCATAGTAAAAAAAGTTAAAAACGTAAAAGAAACATATAAAATACTGCATATGCAGTACAGAGAGTAGATTACTAATTAACTTTAATTCATGCTTTAAGAAATAGATAAAAAGACTGAAAGCTAATATACCAAAATATTAATAGTGGTTATCTTTTAGCAGATTACTGATAATATTTGTTTCTTATAATTTTCTTTATCTTACAAATGTGTTCGACTAAATATGATGCTTTTATTAAATACTTTATTTAAAATGCAAGAAATGTCACTAAATATTTAAATGCAAGTGGTACAATGAAATGAGTTTCCCAGTGTGCTTTATAAATTTGCCATGTTGTCGAGTTCCATTGATAATTATCATTGTGCTTAACACATCAGTGAATTTTCTAATGGCCAAGGGAGTGTTTTCATATGCAAAATAAACCACTTAGAGCTGTCTAGATGTGAAATTTGTTATTGAAGTTAATTAAAAGACTGATTTTTTGCTGGGTGCAGTGGCTCACGCCTGTAATCCCAGTACGCTGGGAAGCAAAGCCAGTTGGATTGCCTGAGCTCATGGGTTTGAGACCAGCTTGAGCAAGAGCAAGACCCCACCTCTAAAAAATAGCCAGGCATTGTGGCAGGCGTCTATAGTCCCAGCTACTCAGGAGGCTAAGGCAAGAGGATCACTTGAGCCCAAGTCTGAGGTTGCTGTGAGCTATGATGCAACAGCACTCTACTGACAGTGACAAAGTGAGACTCTGTCCCCCCAAAAAGAAAAAAAGATTTCTTCTTCTTCTTCTTCTCATCATCATCATCATTATTATTATTAGAGACAGGGTCTCTCTCTGCTATCTAGACTGGAGTACAGTAGCCTGATCATAGCTTGCTACACCCTCAAACTTCTGGGTTCAAACAATCATCTGATCTCAGCCTCTCAAGTCACTGAGACTACAGGTGTGCACCACCACACCCAGTCATCTCTGCAAAAATTTTTTAGAGATGGAGTCTTGCTAGGTTGCCCAGGCTTATCTAGAACTCCTGGCCTCAAGTAATAATTCTGCCTCGGTCTCTGCAGTTCTGGGATTACAGGCATGAGCTACTGCTTTTGGCCCTGAATTTATTTTATTTATTTATTTATTTATTTATTTATTTGAGACAGTGTTGCTTTATAACTCTTGGAAGCTCTGTGGCATCACAGCTCAGAGCAACTTCAAACTCAGGCTTAAGCAATTCTCTTGCCTCAGCCTCCCAAGTGGCTGGGACTACAGGCGCCTGCCACAACACCCAGCTATTTTTTTGTTCCAGTTGTCATTGTTGATTAGCTGGCCTGGGCCAGGTTGGAACCAGCCAGCCTCAGTGTATGTGGCTGGTACAGCAACCACTATACTATGGACACTGAGCCTTTATTACATTTCCTAATGCATGTCAAATTTTGGTAACAAGTATCAATCAGGCATTTCTAATTAAAAAATACAAAACAGGGAGCGCCTGTGGCTCAGTGGGTAGGGCGCTGGCCCCATATACCAAGGGTGGCAGGTTCAAAGCCAGCCCCAACAAAACTGCAACAAAAAAATGGGCATTGTGGTGGGTGCCTATAGTCCTAGCCACTCTGAAGATTGAAGCAAGAGAATTGCCTAAGCCCAGGAGTTGGAAGTTGCTGTGAGCTGTGTCACCGCAGCACTCTACCTAGGGTGATAGAGTGAGACTCTTGTCTCTACAAAAAAAAAAAAAAAAAATGGTCAGTGCCTGTGGCTCAAAGCAGTAGGGCATTGGTCCCATATACCAGAGGTAACGAGTTCAAACCCGGCCCCAGCCCAAAACTGCAAAATAATAATAATAATAATACAAAAAAATAGTTAAATTTCTCAAACATGTTATCTCTTGAACATTTTAAACACGGCATATAAAAAACATACGTTATCATTCTTGGGCAGTACCTCTGGCTCAGTGAGTAGCACGCCAGCCCCATATACCAAAGGTGGCGGGTTTGAACCCAGCCCCAGCCAAACTGCAACAAAAAAATAGCCCGGCATTGTGGCAGGCACCTATAGTCCCACTTACTCCGGAGGCTAAGGCAAGAGAATGGCCTAAACCCAAGAGCAGGAGGTTGCTGTGAGCTGTAACACCAGAGCATTCTACCAAGGGCAACAAAGAGAGACTCTGTCTTTTTTTTTTTTT